AATATTTTTCATAATAAATAGCATAGAAGCTTGAAAGCCTTATTAAATTATGCCTCCAGGAATTCCACAAGCTGGAAGTACTTGTGTCACTGATGGCTTCACTTGCCCTTGACATTAAAGCGCAGTGGTATCACTCTTGTCTTCTCCATACTTTCTCCCAGGAGAACGAGCACTCCTGTAATCAATAAATCCACATCGTTTACGATGAGAAGAATTGTCAGTTTGTGAAAAATATGGTTAATATAGTTAGAATTTATGTGTTATATATGAGGCCTGTTTAGTGAATTTGTTATAGGCCTAATGACAAAACCGAACTTTGCACGTGGATCGGTAAGGATAGGTTAGGAGTGTCTGATAGAAATGGAAGAGGCAACAAGAGACTTGTCGAGAACCTTGTATCGACCAACGCCAAACTAATTGACAGTCTGACCATCGACTTCGATGATGCCCACCGTGTGCCCCACAGCAGCAGCAGCGGTGGGAGCAGGGACGGTGACTTGCGCAGGTATTTATAATGACGATGGACTTGTGCTGAATCTACCTACACTCTCTAATCCTCCTCCGTCGCCAGTGCTCGGTGTCTAGACAGAGTCAGGAACACCGGAGACGAGGGAGGTCGCAGGTTGATGGCTCGGATCGATCCTCACCTTGGCGTTCCACCACACACCCTGGTCAACACAAGAAATATCCAGCATTTCAACCAACACAAACGAGACTGCAGGCTGGCACGCCGAAGCCGCACCTAGGCGTGCCGCCGACGCCTGGCTCTGATCCCAAACAGCGGGAGTGTCTTAAAGACCACATTAGGAAGGAGCCATTGCAGCCTGACTCTCAGACCTCCAGTCCGGGAGGAGGTCCAAGTTATCCCGTCAGTTGGCAACCTTTCAAGCCACGGCTTTTAGCGCACCGTGATAGCTTTCAGCGCGTCTGATTGTTTATAGTGAGAAGTAAGCGCGCTGAGTCGTCGGCCTAACTCTCCCTTCCCAATCCCACTCCCCAGTCGCTGTCCGAGCCGGTCAGCAGACTGGAATGGGAAATGAGCGCGGTGGCTGGCATGGTTGACTGACCATGACTACGCGCGCTACGTGCACGAGCCGGCCCCACATACACACACCAGGATTTCGCACAACGGGGGTTGAACGGCGTGTCTCTCACTTGCGTGAGAGGGCAGTGATACGTGCTGTTTCAGCCCCTCCTGAGCCCACCAGTCCGCCACTCCACACAACACACACATAACGGGAAAAACTGCGAAGACCATGTGGGGCATCAATCAGCAACCTTCCTATCCACGACGATTGATGTTTCGGGATAGTCTCAGACTAAAGTCGCCCGTGCAGCCGAAGCCGCATTTGGACTGAGTCGAGATGCATACTTCCCACTTGCGTGGGAGGTGGCAGTTTGGTGCTTGCAGTGTATGGGAGTTGATGTGTGGTTGTGGTGGTTGTGGTGGTGCTGTTGGAGGCAGGGAGGGTGGGTGTTATTGTGTGGTTTAGCCGGCGGTTGTCTACCGGAGGTCGTCGTGGATGCGCATGTGGCCGAGTAGACCCATGCGATGCGTGAAAGTGTGAAGGCAGTGTGCGCAGTGGAGGCGAGCTTGGTGGGTATAGGTTGGTGCTCCAGGCACTGGTTCGCCATTCTCCGTGCGATGAATTCGCAAGTGACCGACCAGGCCGAGGCGAGAGGTGAATGTGCGTGGACGGTGTGGGCAGTCGAATTCGGTCGTGTCTGTGTCAGTTGCGATAAAGGTGATGGGCGCTAAGGGTGATGAAGTGGGGATGGGGTTTGGCGTGGTGAGTGAATCGGGAGGGCGGTCAATTCCGCTCTGGTGGATGAGCCTGTGGCCGAATAGGTCCATGCGATGCGTCATGGTGCGATGGAAGTGTGGGCAACAGGGCGGGTGCGGTGGGTGTAGGTTGGTGCTCCTGGCACTGGTTCGCCAGTCTCTGTGCGATAGATTCGCAAGTGACTGACCAGGCGGATGTGTGAAATGAACGTGCGGTCGCAGTGAGAGCCGGCGAAGTCCTGTCCCTCAGCCATGGATTCGGAGGTTGGAGGGATGGTGTCTGATGTTGGGTCATGGATTTGAGCGATGCTGGTGTGAGCGACGGCCACCAGCGCGGCCGTGGTTGGTGCAGGGGGACAGGAGGAGGAGCAAGAGGCGGGGGAAGAGGAGGAGGGGGAGGAAAAGGAGGAGGACGAGGAGAAGGAGGAGGAGGAGGAGGAAGAGGAGGAGGAAGAGGAGGGGGAAGACGGAAGTGATGGTTCAGAAAAATTGTCAGAGTCAGTTGGTTGCGGAGAGGACGAGGCACAGGCGGGTGGAGGGGCGGCGGTTGGTGCGGTATGGGAGGTGCAGTTGGTCCGAAGATTTTCAGTGAGTCCAGTTCGTGCCCGACGTACCCGTTGACGCCGAGGACACTTTGGAAGCGGTGGTGCGTCCGCGTTGCTAACGGGGCGTAGTTGTAATTTGCCTGCTTTGCGTTTCACTTTGGCAGCGGCGATTCGTTTGGCCTCATAGATCGCAGCGCCTGTCTTCACTTTCCTTCTCCAGGTCGGTCGGTCGAGGACGAGCTCTTCCCAGTTGATCGGGTTAATTTGCAGATCCTTCAGGCAGGACGTCAGAGTATCCTTGTTTTGACCAATCTGGTCTCCCTGGTGGCGAGAGCCCGTCGCGACGTCTCCGTAGAAGAGTCATTTGGGTAGTCGCTCGTCGTCCATGTGCACCAGATGGCCGCCCCAGCGCAGCTGCATTTGTCTCAGCATGGTGTAGATGCTGACGATTCCCGTCCGTTCGAGCACATCAGTGTCGGGGATTCGATCCTGCCAGTTCAGCCTCAGGATGCGACGGAGACAACTGAGGTGAAAATGGTTCAGTCGACGAGCCTGCTTTGTGTATACTGTCAAGGTCTCCGATCCGTACAGCAGCGTCGGCAGGATGACGGCCTTGTACATCTTCAGCTTCGTGCTCAGTTGGAGACCTTGATGACTCCAGACTGTGCTTTGGAGGCGACCGAAGGCTTGACTGGCTTTCGAGATCCTGCTAGCGACTCCATCATCGATTTTGGTGTTAAGGCAGAGGGTGCTGCCCAGATACGGGAAGTTCTCCAGCACTTGCAGTGGGGTTCCATTCACGCTGATTTGCGGCGCGTTGGGAGGAGTGGTTGTGTTGGGTGGCGGTTGATGCATGACCACCGTCTTCTGCGTGTTAATGACCAGACCGAAGTTCTCGCAGGCGTTCATCTCTGTAGGCGTCCACCAGCATGGCAGAGAATATAAGGCTGAAGAGGGTGGACGCCAGCACGCATCCCTGCTTCACTCCGTTGGTCACTGCGAATGCCTCTGAGACAGCTCCGTTGTCCGTGACTCGCGCCATCATACCGTCGTTCAGCTGACGCACCATCTGAATGAATCGCTCCGGACAGCCGAATTGCTGCATGATCTTCCACAGTCCTTCACGATTCACCGTGTCGAAGGCCTTCGTCAGGTCAACGAAGGTAGAGCACAGGTGGGTCCGCCAAAAGATGCCACGGTGATTGCTGCAGACTTGGCGGTTCCCTTTTCGCTTGTAGAGATGCACGATGGTTACGTCTTTGAAATCTTGCGGGACTTCACCTTGACGCCATATCTCCTGGAAGAGCTCAGTCAGGTGATCCATCAGTTGGGGACCTCCGTGCTTGTAGACCCCAGCAGGGATTGCGTCCGATCCGGGGGCTTATCCGCTAGAGAGCTGCTGCAGGGCCCTGATGA